CACACAGAACAATAACAATATTTACTGCTCTAATAGACATTCTTAGATAATTTAAATATTTTTTAAGAACCACCCCAAACCCATTATAAGGTGGCAGTTCAGCAGGAAAAGAAAACAAACCCACACAGAAATTTGTATGTTAGCATGGATGTTACCTATTACTTTGATACTGTTTGACTATGTGACCTGTTATGAGCAATTTAATCTCTGTAAATTGCGTATTTTTGATCAATCAAATTAAGAATTTGTATCCAATCTCAATGCCTTACTTCCATGGTTGAAGTCTTAAAATATGCTAATGGGAAATCTTCCTTTCTCTCCAAGATAGAATCAGCCAAAAATCTCAGATTTCATTCACACATACAGTGTTTTCAGACATTTTTGGTCCCAGCTGTAAAATTTTATTAAATTGTAGGGGAAAGTATAAAGTAGAATTAAAGGAACCTCTTTTCACAGTTTGTCTTTGGAAAAATCAGTGTCTTCTGGCAATATGCTCAGTCACTCTGGGATTTAGTTCATGGAATTAAATAGGATTTACTATTTATTCAAGGAGGCCTAGTGGTGCAGTAGTTAGGTGTTCAGCTGTTAACTTTACCCTAAAGGGCAGCTTTTCTCTGTCCTTTAGTGTTGTTATGCATCAGAATTATCTCTATGGTAATAGTTTAATATTTATTCAGGCTTCTGCTAAAAATATACAACTAACCTTACAGAAATTGTAAATCAGGACTCAAGAATCAGACACTAAGAACATAATTTACAGTAATCAAGTAGTTATTTCTACCACAAATGTAGTCGATCTGGTTCCAATAAAGAACATCAGGTGAGATCTATATGTAAAGTCATCATTTGTGTCTCCTTTAAAAAGGTTTTTGCAATGAATAAATCACTGTAAATACAAAATGTGATCATTCTCTTTCCAGCTTCATTTCTACCACCAAGCCTTTCTTTTCCAACTATTATTCTTTTTTCACTGTTTTCAACTTTTTGCATCATAGTCACTAATTATCATTAACTAATCTTGAGTACACATATGGTCTATATTTGGACTTCAAGCTTTGGTAAATTTCTTCCTCTTTGGTTTTAGATGTAGGAGCGCATATTTGAAAAATAGTCAGGTTAACAGGTCTTCCTTGAACACATATGGGTATTATCCGATCACTTATAACACTGTATTTCAGGATAGGACTTGAAATTGACTTTTTACAATAAATGAAACACCAACCTTTCTTCTTCTGTTTTTTCATTCTCAGCATAGTATAATACCATGTGATTATCTGATTCAAAGTGGCCAAAGTTGGTCTACCTCATCTCACTAATACTTAGTTGTTGATGATCAGGCATTCCATTTCATTTTTAACAATTTCCAGTTTTCCAGCATTCAAGTTATGTACCTTTTTGTTTTTCCTCATCTCAACTGAATCCCAATCTTGGCTTTATTACTACACTGCTATAACTATCCTCATTCCTATAATGTTTATAGGGTTTCAAAGGTCTACTTTTTTTAAGAAGTGGATGGTAAAACCTGCTATCTAGTCTGTCTTAATATGGGAACTCTACTAAAACCTGTCCACCATGAGTAACCCTCATGGCATTTTATACACCAACGGCATAGCTTTCAGTATCACAGCAAGCCCAGGTTATCTAGTACACCAAACTGACAGACGAGTGCTGCACCACTTAGCACAATGTTCTCCCCAAACACAACAAACTGCCAATCAACAGTCCAAGCTAGGCTAGGGCAGACTGTGGGTCAGATCACCAATTATTCATATGCAAGTTCAAACTGAGGCTGGAGAAAATGAAAATAAGTCCACAGGGACGAAGATATGATATTTAGTCAATTCTATCTGAATTTCAAGGTCATCTTAAGAGTAGATTGGAGGCATTGGACACCAATGAGTTGTGGGATGATATTAAGGATATATTCCATAAAAAAAAGCAAAAGATAATAACAGACAGAGGATAAAAGAAAAACCTAAAATGGATGTTAGAAGAGACTCTAAAATTGCATTGGAATATTGAGAAGCCAAAGCAAAGACAAAGCATGATGAAGTAAAAGAGCTGAACAGAAGATTTTAAAGGGCAGCATAAGAAGACATACTATATAATGGAATGTGCAGAGATCAACTGCAGAATAAAAAGGGAAGAACTCATTCTGCATTTGTCAAGCTTAAAGAATTGAAAAACAAATTTAAACCTCAAGTAATACTGAAAGATGCTATGAAAACATTTAAAAAAAGTAATACACAAAATCACTGTACCAAAAAATAACTGATTGACGCTGAAAAATTTCAAGAAGTTCCATATGAACAGGAGCCAGTGGTAATAAAGGAGGGAGTGGGAGCTGCATTGAAAGTACTGGCCAAAATAAGGCACCAGGAATCAATGGGATACTAATTGGTTAGTTTCAATTAACAGATGCACCCTTGGATAGGCTCACCAGTCTATGCCAAGAAATGTGGAGGACAGTGGTCTGGCCAATCTAATTGGAAGAGGTTCATATTTATTCCCATTCCCAAGAAAGGTGATCCAATAGAATATGAAAACTATGTAACAATATAATTAATACCAAATACAAGCAAAATACTCTGAAGATCATTCAAAATCAGCTAGAACAGTACATAGATATGGAACTTCCAGAAGTTTAAGCAGGATTTAGAAGAGGCTGTGGCACTAGGAATAGCATTGCTGATGTCAGATGGACCCTTGCTGAAAATAACAATACCAGAAGAATATCTATTCACATTTTATTGACTATGTAAAGGTGTTTATCTGTGTTAATCATAGCAAGTTGTACTGAAATTTTGAAGAATTGGAGTCAAAGAACAATTAATTGTGCTCATGTGAAACCTATACCTGGACTAGAAGGCTGTTGTGCAAATAGAACAGGGGGCACTGCATGGTTTAAAATTAAGAAGGGCATGTGTCATGGTTGTATTATCTCTTCATATCTGTTTAGTCTGTATGCTGAGCAAACTATTCAAGGACTCTATGAAGAAGAACATGGCATCAGGATTGGAAGGTGACTCATCAATAACCTGCATTACACAGATTATACAACCTTCTTTGCTGAAAGTAAGGAAGATTGTAAGCACATGTTGAAGAAGATCAAGGAATGTAGCCTTCGGTATGGATTGCATCTCAACATCAAGTGATCAAAGATTCTTACCACTGAACTGATAGGCAAAATCATTATGATGATGAGAAGGGATTGAAACTGTCAACAACCTCATCTTACTTGGATCCACAATTAACACACTTGGTAAGGAAATAAGGAAATGCATTGCAACAGGAAAGTCTGAAGTTAGGGATGTCTCTAAATTATTGAGGAGTAACGATAACAGTTTGAAGTCTAAGATGCATCTGATTCAGTCCATGGTCTTTCCAAATACTTCTTATGCATCTAAGAGAAAGACAATGCATAAGGATTTCAGAAGAAGACTTGATGCTTTTGAGCTATGGTGTTGCAGAAGAGCACTGAACATCCCATAGATAGCCAAGAGAATAGACAAATATGTCTTGGAGAGGGTATAGCCAGAGTGCTGTCTGGAGGCAACAATGATGAGACTTTGCCTCACATACTTTATGCATGCTGTCAGGAGGGGCTATTCCTTGGAGAGGGACATGATGCTTGGAAGCGTGAAAAGTTGGCGAAGGAGACGAAGACCCTCAACTACATAGACTGACATGGTGACTGCCACAATGGGCTCTAATCTGTCAGGAAGTGTGAAGATGGCACAGGATAGGACAGGATTCTGATCCGTTGTTCATAGGGTTGCTGTCAATCATACTTACTCAATTTGATGGCACTTAACAACTCAACAGCAACAAGTAGTTATTCAATGGTTCTGATAGATTTCTTAGTGAGACTCAAAGTAGAAATTAAGGCAGAGACTTGGATGAGATGGAAGAGCTCCAAGGATCAATGAACAGGATATGACACAGTCATGGGATTTATCATTGTAAAATTAATCCAATGGAAAGTTAGATACCAATTAATGAAGGATGTAGGTGCTAACTGTCCAATGTATTCACTAGATAAGCATCATCATTGAGATAATATTTTTTTCCATTTTGAAACTAAACTAGTGGAGGGAAAGGGTTTTTATCTAATCTCTTCCTTGCTGTATCTTTAGCTTTTGGAATACAGTCTATCTACTTATTATACCATAAATATTGGTTGAATAAATGAAGAGGTAACTTGTAAATATGACTTGAATAATAACTCATAGGCCTAGTAAGTGTGTCCATTTGCTAAGTCATTAAATCTTTGAAGCTCCATTCCTACATCTTTGAAATGGAAATAATTATTTTGAAAGGAACATTTAACGTGTATATATTTATGAAGAAAAAACCCTTCAAAATACTTTTCCCTATACAGCATAGGAAAAAGTCTAATTTGGCACACTCAACTTATAAAAGTGAAAAAAAAAAAAAACCAAACTGGTGCAAATACCATTCAAACATCCATAGTTCAGGACAACAGGAATATTAG